GGACTTATTGCTTCATTTTTACCTTAATATCTGTGTAAGTTGGGATATTGTAGTCCAACCTCCCTGGATTCGAGAACAATCTTGACTGAGCACCAAAAGGCAGTACTGAATGAGGTCATAACAATATATATCTTGTTTGATTTTCTTCAACTCTGAGCTTCCTAAAGGTGTGTTGTTTATTATTTCTAAAGGAAAAAGAAATAAATATACTTATTTTTGCTCAATAAATCCAAGAGCTTTTTGTATTTTATAGTCTGAATAACAACCAAAAATATTTTTAAAAGGAAAAAAAATTACTGCTTTCTCACAATGTTAAAATTTCTCTGAACAAATTAGAAAAATGCCAAAACTATATCCATGATAGAATTATTTTGTTAAACAATGTTAGCCAATCACAAAAAGATTTTCTTAGTTTTTTTTTTTTTTTTAAAGATTATTTATTTATTTGGGGCAGGGGGAGCAGAGAGAGACAGAAAGTCTTAAGCAGATTATGTGCTGAGTCAGCCCAACACAGGGCTTGATCTCATAGTCCTGAGATCACGATTGGAGTCAAAATCAAGAGTCAGATGTTTAACTGAATGCACCCTCAGGTGCTCCAATATTCTCTTACCTTTTAACTTCAAAAGTATAACAGGGACATTTTGCTCAGGACTTTTTGCAACTTCAGCAGCTAGAGATAAGATCCTTGGATCTGTACCTGTTGGCTTCATTTCTTACATCACCTATATTTTGACAGACAGAAAGGTAAAGGTCAAACAGCCCTGGGATCCCTGGGTGGCGCAGCGGTTTGGCGCCTGCCTTTGGCCCAGGGCGCGATCCTGGAGACCCGGGATCGAATCCCACATCGGGCTCCCGGTGCATGGAGCCTGCTTCTCCCTCTGCCTATGTCTCTGCCTCTCTCTCTCTCTCTCTCTGTGACTATCATAAATAAATAAAAAAAAAAAAAAATAAAAAAAAAAAACAGCCCTAAAATATTTGCTCCCTAAATAATGTTTGAAAAAGTTTCAATACAAATAAAACTTTAGCTTTGCTTGCTTTGAGAAGTAAAAGGTAGATTTTTCAATTTCTTCCTTATAGTAGATTCTGGTTTTTCTAACTAGAATACTTCTCAAAGAGCTAGAATCTCCTATAACTTACTGCGACAGCTACAGTACATATTATCTATTGTGCACTAAGAGTCAGGAAGTGCTAGGTGCTCCACATTCACTCTCTCTGATCTGCACAATAATCCAGGGATAGAAACTGCTTTCTTTTATCATAAAAGAGACATTGGGTGCAGAAAAGAGCTAACATAGACCCGAGACAAGATTGGCCCTGCTGGTGCCTAGGAACTTGGATTTCAGAAGGGTTTCCATGATTCCCGAGTAAGAGTGGCTCACTGTGCCCAAAGTGTGTGAAAACAATGTGGTTTATGCAGAATGTCTGTTTCCTTCCAGATATTTGGAATTCTGGTACTAGGTAGTAGAGGATACCTACATGATCATATTTCAATAAATACCTTTGTCACTGAATCTCCAGTGAGCTTCTCTGGTAGACAACACTTCAAACTGTCACAACTCATTATAGAAGAATTAAGTGTGTCAAATGTGAATTCATGGGGAGAAGACTCCTGGAAGTTTGCACCAGTTTTCCTTGGGATTTTGCCTCATTTGTCTTTTCTCTGTGTTGATTTTGCTTTGTATCCTTTCACTGTAGTAAATCATAGCCATGGGACTCCTGGGTGACTCAGCGGTTGAGCGGTCTGCCTTTGGTTCAGGGCATGATCCTGGAGTCCGGAGATCGGGTCCCACACTGGGCCCCCACAGGAGCCTGCTTCTCCCTCTGCCTGTATCTCTGCCTCTCTCTCTCTCTCTGTCTCTCATGAATAAATAAATAAATCTTGAAAAAGGGGCAGCCCCGGTGGCTCAGCGGTTTAGTGCCGCCTACAGCTCAGGGCGTGATCCTGGAGACCCAGGATCGAGTCCCACATCAGGCTCCCTGCATGGAGCCTGCTTCTCCCTCTGCCTGTGTCTCTGCCTCTCTCTCTCTCCTCTCTGTGTATTCTCATGAATAAATAAAATCTTTAAAAAAAAAAAAATCTTGGGGATCCCTGGGTGGCACAGCGGTTTGGTGCCTGCCTTTGACCCAGGGCGCGATCCTGGAGACCCGGGATCGAATCCCACATCGGGCTCCCGGTGCATGGAGCCTGCTTCTCCCTCTGCCTATGTCTCTGCGCCTCTCTCTCTCTCTCTCTCTATGACTATCATAAATAAATTAAAAAAAAAATTAAAAAAAAAAAAAAGAAAACTTTCCTTGAAAAAAAATCTTGAAAAAAAAATCATGGTTATGAATCTGATTATATCTTAAGAACTGTGAGCCTTCCCAATAAATCACTGAACCTGGCATTGGTCTTGTGTGTCGATCTCCAACACACAACTTGGAAATGAGATGTTAATTATAACATAAATAGAAGCTTGTCTATAAACAGAAGAGTACATAAAATCCATTATTTTAAAGTCAAAAAAAAGCATCCCAACTTTATTTGCTAAAACTTTTCTGTATGAAAAAGTTTTATATATGTTATACAAATATATGTTGAAAGAAGGGATAAATGCACAAACTTTGGGCATTTCAAAGCTTAATTTCTTGACTCTCTGCTTTCTTCCTTATTACAATATGAAAACCTCAGATTTCTAATTAGAAGTCTTTTTTAAGTAAAATAGGCTTAAAACACAGTTCTTGCCCTCTGGTTAACATACTAAAACACCCCTGAAACATTATCATCATCACCAAACACATGCGTAGGGCACAATGTTGGATGCATGGGTCACAAGAATTTTATATGGGACCAAAGTCCCTGATATTCATGTTCTGTTTGGGAAAGAAAAAAGTATACACGCACATATATACACATATGTGATATAAAATAATTATATAAACTACTTTAAGTGCCAAATAGATAACACAAATGATAAGAAAAAAGACCACATAGTCAGAAAACTGAACTTCTCTGAATCAGTTTTCTTATCTGTAAACAAATTAGCAATTCCTACTTTCTAGAATAACTAAAGGTTTTGAAAAGAAAGTAGAACCCAAGGATGGTTCTAAAATGTTACCAGAGGGACGCCTGCGTGGCTCAGCGGTTGAGCCTCTGCTTTGGCTCAGGGCGTGATCCTGGAGTCCGGGGACTGGGTCCCACAACCGGCTCCCTGCATGAAGCCTGCTTCTCCCTCTGCCTGTGTCCCTGCCTGTCTCTCTGTGTCACTCATGAATAAATAAGTAAAATCTTCAAAAAATAAAAAATAAAATAAAATAATGTTGTCGGACAGTAGGGTTACACATCAATAATGGTAACCATTTGAAGAGCTTTTACTGTGTGCTGTGAATGGCTTTAAATCCTTTCATGTATTAATTCACTTAACCCTCTCAACTCTAAGGAGGAAGCACTATTATCCACCCCCCCCCCAATTTTAACGATGAGCATACTTTAGTTTGCATGAAGTCACACTGTAAAGTATGAAGCTGCGGTTCAAATACAAAAATTCTGGCTCCAGGGGCAGCCCAGGGGGCCCAGTGGTTTAGCCCCGGAAGGCCGGGGGTGTGATCCTGGGGTCCTGGGATGGAGTCCCATGTCAGGCTCCCTGCATGCAGCCTGCTTCTCCCTCTGCCTGCATCTCTGCCTCTCTCTGTCTCTCATGAATAAATAAATATAATCTTTAAAAAAAAATTAAAAAGGGGGGGGGGAAATCCCTGTGTGGGTCAGCAGTTTAGTGCCTGCCTTCAGCCCAGGGCATGATCCTGGAGACCCGGGGGATCGAGTCCCAGGTCAGGATCCCTGTGTGAAGCCTGCTTCTCCCTCTGCCTCTCTCTCTCTCATGAATAAATAAATAAAATCTTAAAAAAAAAAAATTCTGGCTCCAGCACCTGAGCACTTACTTACAACACTACACAGCCTTCCTAGTCCTTTCAAGAGTAAAATTGAGACAAGCAGACAGATTGAGGAGCCCTAGTCACCTACTTGCCCAGAACAATAAATCTGCAATTTTGGCTACGGTACAGGTCAAGTAAGGGAGCAGAGCGTAATTACACACTTACCCTGAAAAGCCACCACCCGTTCCGGCAACCGTCTGTAAACTTTCTCCTCTCACACAACCCCTCCCTCCTCATCTTTATCCTGACACTCATGAACTTTTGATAGAAAAAAAAAAAAAAAGAAAGAAAGGCAATTATTTTTCAATTATTAACGCTATTTACCCTGTTGTCACAGCACGAGCTGGGGCCTCAGGCTTGGGGAAGTCGTCTTCCTGGGCCTGCCGTTACTGCCTCCAAAGATCCCTGGGAAGGAAATAAATAAAAGGCTCCTTGATGCAACCTGGCTGCCGCTGATCCTAAACGCCGCCGCAGTTCCTAATTCCGAATCTTTTTTTTTTTTCCCTTCTCCTTCCTCCCCGTCCCCGGTCGGGGCCCTCACAGCACCGGGGACTTTGAACAGGAGGCGATCGCCGAGGTAACGGCGTCGCCGCCGGTGAGGTCCCAGGTCCGAGGCTCCGAGGCTCCGAGGCAGCGAGCTCCTTCGCTCGGGATTCTCCACCTGCTCCGGCGCCACCAGGCCGCGGTCAACACGCACCCCGGGGTCCCGCTCCCGCCCCTCCCCGGGCCTCAGTTTCCACCACAGATCTCCACAGAAACGGGGCAGACTCTCCCGTTGGGAGCTCCCCGGTGCCGGGACGCTGGGCCCAGGCCTCCCTCTCGCTCCCCAGCCGCCGCGGTCCGGGTTACCTCAGCCTCTCTCGGCGTTCCCCCGCCGCAGCTCCCGACTCCCTCCACGCACCTCCGCCGCGCGGCCTCCCGGGGACGGCGTGCGTCGCGACGCGGGAAAGGGACCCGGAGGCGGGAGCGGGATCCTGGAGCGGGGCGGGGCGCCCTTCCGGGCAGCCAATCAGCACTCGAGGGGCGCCGGGGGGCGGGGCGCCGGGGGGCGGGGGGGGGGAGGGTGCGCGCGTCCGGCGCGGGGCGGAGTCTGCTGGGCGCCCGGGCGGCTGCAGGTGCAGCTGCTCCGGGACCAGGTGGCAGCTGGAAGCGAGCGCAGGTGGCGACGGCGAAGCTGGAGCCGGAGAGTCAAGATGAATGGAGCAGCGGGACCGGCGTCCAGGGACCGGCGCGAGCGGGTTCTCAAGTTAGGCGAGACTTTTGAGAAGCATCCGCGCTGCGCCTTCCACACTGTACGCTGTGAGTGAGGACGGTCCCCGGGAGGAAGGGGGGACTCTGGCCGTGGGGAAGTGGAGGCACAAACCTCTCCGGAGTCGTGTTGCCACAGACACCCCCCCTACTCTGCTGGAAAGTGGGGTGCCCGGCGCTATCCGCTGCCCTGCCTGGAGTCCAGGGCGGTTCGTGTCAGGAGCCGGAGTTGAGCAGCTGTGCGTAAACCCTGTGCAGACAGATTCCAGGGGATCGGGAAGCAGAGAGGGAAACTTTGCGGAGGTGTCCCGGGGTGCTGCCGATGAACGGGCAAATAGTAAGGTGACAGCTGGAAGGGCGCAAAGGACCCACCTTTGTGAAGGCGGGGAGCCAATGTCCTGAGGCTGATAGGGAAATATTCCCTCTCCAGTTCACTTTTCCTGTCTCTGGCTGATGAGAGTTCTTGTTTAGTCTGTTCCTTGGGTAGATATTCTTTTTCTTTCTTTCTTTTTTTTTTGGGGGGGGTAGATATTCTGAACCATCTCAGTAAACTGCATCTCTTTTGAACCTTTGGTTTCATTCAAAGATCAGATACTGATTATCGTAAGTACTGGAGGGTGTGTTATTCGTTTTTTTGTTTTTGTTTTCTTTTTAAAGAAAGGTATATTTTTAAAAATTTAAAAATAAAGATATTTACTTCCCTTTGATTTCTCCTTTTGATTGTCCTCTGGAACTAATTTTGATCAATCATGCTCTGTTATGTTGTTGAGGTAGGAAAAGGAGCTCTTTTATTTTGACAGTTGGCTGGTATAGCTTCCAGGAAGGAAAATATAGCATATTGTGACTTGGTATGTAAAACATTTCATTCTTTGCATAGTAGCCCTCAGAATTACAGAGCGGAAAGGAAACTTTGAGATCTTTGAACCATGACCTCTTATTTTTCTGTGGCAAAATTGTGAAGTAGGTCTTTTTTCACTTCCTTTCCCTAGCTGTGTTCCTCCTTAGTGTCTCATCATTCCACCTTTCCCTGTCGTCTTGTCCTTAGACTGTCCAGAGATCTTTTTTTTTTAAAGATTTTATTTATTTATTCATGAGAGACACACAGAGAGAGAGGCAGAGACACAGGCAGAGGGAGAAGCAGGCTCCATGCAGGGAGCCCGTCGTGGGACTTGATCCCGGGTCTCCAGAATCAGCTCTGGGCCAAAGGCGGTGCTAAACCACTGAGCCACCTGGGCTGCCCTGTCCAGAGATCTTCATGGCTTTTACTCTGAACTTTTCCAAGCGCCAAATACCCAATTGCAACTCAACATTCTCCAAAAATTTAGTTAAGTTGTAGATAATCTAATTATAGTAACTCAGGTAAAGGTATAAAGACCAATAGGTTTAACTCTCCATGGATGTATTTGCATTTTACAAAAGCGTCCTTTGTTTTTTCTTTTTCTTTTCTTTTCTTTTCTTTTCTTTTCTTTTCTTTTCTTTCTTTCTTTCTTTCTTTCTTTCTTTTCTTCTGCTTCTTCTTTCTTCTTCTTCTTCTTCTTCTTCTTCTTCTTCTTCTTCTTCTTCTTCTTCTTCTTCTTTTCTTCTTCTTCTTCTTTCTTCTTCTTCTTCTTCTTTTTGATGACCCTGAGATCAAGACCAGGGCTGAGATATGCCCAACCCAGCCATCAGGCACTCCATCCTTAGTGTTTTTCTTCTTTGCCATACTCTGTCCTCCAACGTTAACCATGGTGAGACAACTAGTACTGGCTATGCAGTTTCCCTCCTTTAGTCCCATTTTCCAAAAGTGTTATATAGCTTTTACCTGGTTTCTCCATGCCTTTTTCACAAAGAGTATTTTCTCTCCTCTTCTTTCTCAGATTTGCAGTGGCCTTTTAGTAATTTTTCAAATCATAAGGTTTAAGAGTATAAAAATTTGCTCATTTGTTTGTTATATTTTCATATAACTTGGGTATATATTCTTTTTAAGGGTATGAACCCCAAATGAAGAAAATCAAAAATAGCCTTTGAAAAGCTTTTTGCAGGTGCTTCAAAGCTTTTCCTTCATAAAAGTTCTCAACATGCTGGAATTATGCCTTTAGAGCTCAAAAATCAGTTGATCTAGCTATAAGAATAAAAGCAAACAAAACCAAAAATAGACAAAACAACCATAGGAATAATAATCACAATAAACCCAGATGTTTGAATACACTTTTAGGGCTGTGAAAGACATTAAAAGGGTTTCCAGCCTCAATTTTATTCTTGTTGAAGCAGGCAGAGCCTGGGATTTATTTCTAGATTTATTTGAATAAAACCAATCATTATGCTCAAGGATAGGTTCATTTACCGTATGCTCTGCACTCTTAAGGTCTCAGAGTAACGGACCAAACTCTAGAAAACAGGAAATCCTACTTTCGTTCAGGTGGACCTAATTTATAACAAACACTCAATTGAGTCAGTGTCATCTGGGAGAAAGTAATATTCTGTGTTTATGTACAGGGGTAATTATGCCTGTCTAATATACTGAGGCTTTGGACAAAACTGGATGTGAATTCTAGCCTCCACCACCTTTATATGTGATGTAACTTTTGGAACATTCTGTAAACACTCAGCCTCAGTTTTTTTATATGTAAATGGCAATAATAATAATATCTACATTTCAGACATTTTTAAGATTTTATTTTTTCTGACACCCCTTGAAAGAATTTTTTTTAAAGATTTTATTCATTTATTCATGAGAGACACAGAGAGAGAAAGAGAGAGAGGCAGGGACGCAGGCAGAGGGAGAAGCAGGCTCCATGCAGGGAGTCAGTCGTGGGACTCGATTCCGGGTCTCCAGGATCACATCCTGGGCTGAAGGTGGCGCTAAACCGCTGAGCTACCCAGGGATCCCCCATTTTTAAGATTTTAAATAAGGTTGCCTAAGCAACCTACCACTGGTAGAGAATAAAGAGTAGTCGCTATTATTTTTGAAGGGTTATATTTAATGTGTGTATGAGGAATACAGATGAATATAATTAACTTAGACTTTCAAAAGCAGTTATCAGGGCTTAGCAATAAAACCTATCAAAAACATAGTCTGGCATGTGGTAGGGAAGACATGGGATATTCTGTAAGTGATAAGCTAAATGTTTAGAAGCAGATACTTCAGTGGGTGGAAGAGTTTGAGTAATAGGACGCACTAGAATAAATTTTGAATTTAGGCTAGTGCCAATTTTTCGACTTATATCTAGATAAGGGACTAGGCATTGAAGTTCCCAAATTTGTAAATGACATGATTTTTTGCTTACACTAAATGATGAATTCATGGGCAGTGATTATAGGAAGATTGTTTGAGGCTTCAAGTGGAGCCACGTCCCAAAAAGTGGTTGTTAAGCTTTGCTGTGAGCAAACATTAGAAGGTACACTGATGAAAAATGGATTTAAAATTATATTTACATTGAATGTTCTCTGATCAATGTGGTATACTGGAAAGGGTGTGGGTTTTGGACTTAGTTGAATTAGTTCATATCCCAGGAAGTAAATTTATTATAGTAATTGTGATTCTTTTATGATGATATAGATATTATGTGACACTATAGCTGAAATAGAGAAGTAATCAGCATTGACTGAAAAAGCATTAAGTGCAAAGTAGGAAATATTTTTCAACTGTATATGTAATATAAGTAATTGTACTGTCATGAAGGAATAACATAGAGGCTCCTGGGTGGCTCAGTCAATTAAGCATCGTACTCTTGATATCAGCTCATGTCATGATTTCAAGGTCATGAGGCTGAACCCTGCAGTCCGCTCCACACTCAGCAGGGAGTCTGCTGGAGATTTTCTTTCTCTCCCTCGCCCCTTCCCCCTACTCTTTCTTTCTCTCCCTCTCTCTCTCTCTCTCTGAAATAGATAAGCAAATACAATTTTAAAAAGGAAGAAGAAATAACATAGATGAAGGAAATCCACAGAAAATAAATAAATGGTAAAAGTGGTGGTGAGTTTTCGAAACCAAGGAGAACTGAAAGAAACTATGCAGTTTGGAATCATAGCAACTTTGAAAAAATATTTGACATTTGGAAGCATATAGAAAACATGAGATTACTCAACAAATTCTGTAATTCTAGATCTATACTTAATTTCCTTGCAACTCAAAAGCTGTATACTTAGAAAAACTTGTTGACGGTAAACAAGAGAAATTTCATATAACAGGTAATAAAAAGTAGAATTTATTCTAACAGCAGAATCATTAGAAATGTAAATAGGGGGATCCCTGGGTGGTGCAGTGGTTTAGCGTCTGCCTTTGGCCCAGGGTGCGATCCTGGAGACCCGGGATCCAATCCCACGTTGGGCTCCCGGTGCATGGAGCCTGCTTCTCCCTCTGCCTATGTCTCTGCCTCTCTCTTTCTCTCTGTGTGTGACTATCATAAATACATAAAAATTTAAAAAAAGAAATGTAAATAGGTTCAGAATAGTTTTGATAGTTTTATTGATTACAAATTCATTCTTATCACTAAACCAACAGATATTTTGAGTACATTTCTGTCTCTTATACTTGTCTCATAGACGTCTATGGGTAAGCTTCAGGGACTTGTAAATCTCGTGAAATTATACAGTATTCGATATGTACGTTCATCCATGCATTTTTTTTTTTCCTGTGGAGAGGATCTCTAGCTGGTCGATAATTTTCATCAGACTCCCATAGGGACTTTCGACTATTCCTCATCTCCTACCAACCGCCCCCCCACCATACATGCAAAAGTGAAGAACTGTAAATATAAGGCAAAAAGGCTATATGTTATGAGTGAATAGAGTATGTGGTTTGAGTTCCTGACTTGATTTTTTTACTGGCTTCATTACTTTAGAGGATTTCCTATTGGTAAAATGTGGGTGAGAATCTTTAATTCAAAGAGTTGTTGTGAAGATCAACAGTGATGATATAAAGAAAAAAATAATCAGTTTTTAAACACTAAAACAAAGGTTATAGAATAACAGCCTTTTGGCTGAGTTTGACCCACATAGTTGTTTATGTTTTAGCATAAATTAGTTGTAAATGTGTAAAAATCAAGATCTTTTATACAGAAATCTGGATTACCAGCTTCTCTTTAGAAAATTAGAAGATAACCTGGCCACAAGAAACCCATATTTCTCTTGGCAGGAGTTGATTGGATCCAAGTTCTGATTGTCTTCTTGAGATTGGGTTTATTCCCTGTGGTTCCTCCTCGGTCCGCTTCACTGCCTTGGGCTACCTTTCTGGCCTCTTCTCTGAAGCAGTAGTAGCTATAGTTAAATGACAGTCATATCTCCTAGTATTGTCTTTTGTGTCACTGTCAGAAAAATATGGGAGGATAGAGACCAATGGTTTTTCTCTAGGATGTCAATTCTGTATTACCTATTTATCTATAGAACTCTTTATTGTCAAATATTAAGTGATGGGTGCCCTCTAGGGGAACAGAAATGTACTAGTGAAAAGTACAAAAGGAATATGGCAGTGTCTACCCTAAAGACATGAGAGTCTTGAAATACAGAAGAATTTGATCTTTAGGTAACAATTAGAAAACAAATGTTTTGCACACAATTTAGCTGAAATAAGCTTATACTTAAATTTGGAGATAGTTCAGAGAAGGATAAACATATGAACCAGTCACTTACAAAGATCTCATGTTTGCTCTTTATATTGAAGGCATGCTAGGAGCCATAATTCAGGAGGAATTAAAATAGGAGACATTATGCTTTAAAAAAATTACAATCCAAAAGGGCATGTACAGAAATAGGTAAATAATGCCCCGTCATTTATGTTAGGTTTTGATGAGTAGTATGGTAAATGCTACTGAAGTAGACAAAAAAAATGGAGATTTTTGGAGAGAGGAAATGGCTTCACCCAATGACTGCTTTAGGGAAGAAGAGACTTTAAAATAGGATTCACATTCTAAGAGCAAAAACAGAGAAAAGTAGATGGGCAAGCTGTAGGTACTTTTAAGTTTAGTTTTTTGTTGATTGAAATGTAGTTTGTCCTCAGCAGGAATAGAAGGAGATGGCTCAGAAAGATATTATGGAAAAAGACGTAGTGTTTAGAAGTGAATGATGAAAAAAATTGAGGAATGTTTACAGGAATATTTACAATGATGAGCAGAAGTTTGAAAGATAAAATGTTTCGGACACTTTAAGACCAACAAAATCTGTTACTAGGGATACCTCCATGGGCCATGATAATAAATTACTTATATTGAAATTTTTAAAGGATTATTTATTTATTTATTTATTCATGAGAGACACAGGGAGAGGGGCACCGAACATAGGCCTAGGAAGAAGCAGGCTCCCTGCAGGGAGCTTGATTCGGGGCTTGATCCCAGGACTCAGGGCCTGAGCCAAAGGCAGACGCTCAACCTGTGAGCCACCCAGGTGCCCCCAGTTATATTAAAATATTTAAAGTGGTATTTACTTCATTTTTTCTGTATGCATCCTTATAAAATGAAGTTCTTACTTTACGGTTTCAAATGATACTAGCTTAAATTGAACTTATCTTCTTTCTCCATCAATGTTGATATCAATAAGACTGATATCAGGAGCACCTGGGTGGCTCAGTTGGTTAAGTGTCTGCCTTATGCTCAGGTCATGATCCCGGGGTCCATGGGGATTGAGCCCCATGTCAAGCTCCCCACTCAGGGTGAAGTCTGCTTCTCCCTCTGCACCTCCCCCATTATCTCCCCTTCCACCTGCTCGTGTTCTTTCTCTCAAATAAATAAATTAAATATTTTTTAAAAATAAGACTGACATCAAAGATTGTTGGTCAACTTCTTTTTAGTCTAGCTAAATTTGGTGGTTCCTTATTCTAGCTTTAGCAAATATTAATTGCGTGATTTTGGGCAAGGGACTTAATTCTACCACCACCATTTGTCTTATCTGTAAGATAAGGATAATCAGTACTTTACAGAATTTTTGTGAAGCTTTGAGATAAAAATAATATGGAAAGATTTTAAAATAATTAGCATATAAGTAATAACTGTGATCATTGTTTTGTTTTGTACCTTTGTTTATTCTCTTGGATTTTTGTCTTCTGCTTTTTACTTTCTCCTTATTTCTCTGATACTCAAGATACTTTATTTCAGTTCTGATTTGTTTTCTTCAATAGTGTTGTCTTGTCATCAAATGATATTAATTAACACTTAATTCCCTAGAACATCTTTCAAGCATCTAAAACTTAACACCTTAATTATTTTTTATCTTTCTCATTACCTTACTGCCACTAATAAACTCCTCAATTTATTTTCAGTCTAATCTTTATCTTCAGTGGTACTACCGAGGGATACGCTGTAAATCAAATTCTTTCACATTTTTTGTATCACTTATGTTTTTTTTTATGTTTCTTAAAATCTAGAAATAAGCATCAAGGTTTTAAGAGACATTGCATGCATTCAGTTTTGAATTAAAGCAGCATGAAGAATAAATCATATTATAAAGAATACTTAGTGTGAATTGTTTATATCCATATGTGCTTAAGGAATTTAAGAATGGATTTCATTTATTTCATAGAGCTGTTATACAAATTAAATATGAAATGCTAAGCAAGACATCTGGTAGGAAATAAGTGTTCCATAAATGTTAGCCATTATAATTATCACTGGGAAACAGGGCCAGCTTTTGTTTATTGACAGCACTTTCATGAGTGCTGGAAGATTCTCCTTTCCCAGGATCTATCTATTATAGTTCCCTAAATTCTAATAAATGTTCAGTGCTTTGGATTTAGACATTTTGTCTTTGGGGCTTCCCTGTGAATATAAAGATCAGTCTCATGAGGTAGGGGTAATTAGGAGAGGCCTTTCAGAGGCTGATAATGTTCTATTTCTTGATCTAGCTGCTGATCACATGTGTCACTTTGTGAAAATTCATTAAGCTTGATTTATGTTCTAGTTTGCAATGTATGCTATATATATATATATTTTAAAGATGTTATTTATTTATTCACAAGAGAGACAGAGGGAGAGGCAGAGACATAGGCAGAGGGAGAAGCAGGCTCCATGCAGGGACCCCAATGTGGGACTCGATCCCGGGACTCCAGGATCACACCCTGCATCGAAGGCAGATGCTTAACCACTGAGCCACCCCAGCATCCTAATGTATGCTATATTTTAATAAAGAGTTAGCCTAGAAAAACATATATATATTACCCAGGGAATTCTATATCAGAATTATTAGTCATTCGAATAAATTGATGTAAATTATTTTTAAGGGGCTTTCCTATCTTGGAGGTTTTTAAACTTGTTCAGCATGTGAGATATCTGAGCACCCTAAATTCCTTCTGGGTAATATATTTTAATATCGTTTGAACTATGATTTAACTCAAAGAGAAAATCTATCTTAAGTTCCTCTGAAGTTGCATATTTGGTTAAATTTGCATATTCTTTAAGGTATATATGTGAAAAATTCAAACTGTTAAACTCAGTGATTGCATTTTCTTAAGTTTTCCCATGAGTAGGTATTTGCCATGTATTCATTAATTATGTATTCTGCTAGGACAGCAGGCAAGTGATAGTAAGCCCCCAAGGTGGTTTAAGAAAAATTATGAGAGAAAGACTGAAAATTGAAAACATTCTACTTATACCAGTTTTTAGCAAATTGTGGAAACACTGACACTATGTAGTTTTTAGCAGTGGAACATCTTAGTCTAGTCTATCTTGACCTAAACAGGATTCAGAAGGAGCATTGTTTGAGGAATACTGTTTTAGAGTTTAGCTGTTTCTTTTTCTTTTCTTTTTTTTTTTCAGAATTATACATATAGAAATAAACTGGATTGGATTTTATTTATATTATGAAGACTCTTCTAAACCATTTTAATTACTGACTGTTGCAAAATGATTTATCATTCTGAAACATGCTCATATTTTTGATATCCAGGTACCCAGGTATTGTTCCATTTTATAAAAACCTGTATCTGTCTCTATTTTTAGATGACTTCAAACCTGCTTCAATTGACACTTCCTGTGAAGGAGAGCTTGAAGTCGGCAAAGGTGAACAGGTGACAATAACTCTGCCAAATATAGAAGTGAGTATTTCTATATATTTAGACTGAAAGTATTCTTTCGCAGGATTTTTACTAAATTTAAATGAAAATAATTACACAATTCGTATAGTGATAAAGTAATTAACAAATACACCAAAGCAAAAACACCTTATTTTAAGCTATTTTAGGTAAAACAATCTGAAAATACTTTAAAAAAATACTTTGATCTATTTCATAAGTTTCGAGAACTATCATTTCAAATGATTTGAAACACTTGGAAAAAAATTAAAAATTAAACAAACTTGGCGGTCTAAACACTTATTATGAGCCAGATTTTGTACTCTAAACTGGGAATAATAGCATATCCCTGGCCTTTTAGTCCCAATCTGGTATAGCAGAAAGACACACAAATGTCTAATGCTATACATTAGAGCATGTACAAAATTCTTTGCAAGCACATAAGTAGAATCAAATACTCTGCCTGATGGAATCTTGAAAGGCTTCATAGGCAGATGCTATTTGAGCTAAGCCTTGAAGAACAAGTAGAATTTCATTAGGCAGAAAGGGAGTAGACTATTCCAGTTAGAAGGAACAGTATGTAAATGCCTCTAGACAATAGAGAAAGAACAAGAAGTTTGTGGAATAAATGAATTAATGTAGTAAATAAATAACAGAATTATGAAAAATAATTGATAGTAGAGGCTGGAAAGGTAGATTGGGATCAGACTATGAAAAATATTTTATGTTCTAATGGAGAATTTAGACTTTATCCCATAGGTATTAAAGTACCATTAGAGGTTTTTAAGCAGAATAGTAACATGATTAGATTTGTGCTTTTAGAGTGATTTTAGCAATAGTTTGGGGAATGGGTTAGAAAAGAAAGAGGCTGGGTCAGGAGGCTTTAACCAAAGTTTTGTCTATTTAAAAAATTTCCAAGTGTTTCCAAGGGACACTGTCAAATACTATTTACACAAATAGACAAATTATTTGCTGCTTTAGTTTTCTCAGTCTTTGAGTTAGATATTTCTTAGCATTCAACTTGTTTCTTTTTTTTCTTTTACACTGACTTGATCTATTCTCAGAGAGCACAGGTATGGTAACTTTGTATTTTAACATATAGAGAAAGCCCTGGGCTGAGATTTTTTTGTTTAGTTTTTTAAAGGAAATGGTTTTGTGCCAGTTCATCTGCATTCCCTTATATGTATTTATGAGATGATTTGTTGTGATTAGAGGTAGAGCAAGGAGATGCTCTATCCTCTAGTCTTCTATCTTTTCTTATTTTTATCAGTCAACACTTTTATTGAGACCCCTCTATTATATCAGACTGTATCATTTATGGCCTCTGGAAGTTTTCCTAAGGTTAATTAAATTTGTGGGGGAGACTTCACCCTTGCTCCCTTATAAACTGAAGGAAATGAAAAACCAGTTCAGTGTAAGACATATGGATGAATAAACCTTTGTATTACTCTGTTATGGAAAAACTGGCATCTCTAAAACAGTTTAGAAATTTAGTTCCCTGGCTGCCCGGGTGGCTCAGAGGTTTAGCGCCACCTTCAGCCCAGGGCGTGATCCTGGAGACCCGGGATCGAGTCCCACGTCCGGCTCCCTGCATGGAACCTGTTTCTCCCTTTGCCTGTGTTTCTGCCTCTCTCTCTCTCTCTCTCTCTCTCTCTCTCATGAATAAATAAATAAATAAAACCTTAAAAAAAAAGAAAGAAATTTAGTTCCCATAAATCTAAGCCTTTTTTGCTTTATGATCCTCTTTAAAGAAAAACCTAAGTCATCTTTTGACTTCTAAAAGTTATTGAAAAGCCCTCAATTGTTAACAGGTACCCCTAGCCTGGTGTCAAGTCGTAGGATTATTGATCAGTGATGATTGGTTTGCAAAAAAAAAACTTTAGCTAGGTTCTTCTTTACCATGTAGAATATTCTTTTCTTAAATTACAAACCTTCCAACCTCATTCCTTGCACTGCTTTTCTATTATAAGCAGGGGGAATTCTTACATTTATTAATTAACCTTTCTTATTTGCATATATCCTTTAAGCAAGGGTTACCATCTACCTTGTATATGAATATGATCTCAATTGAAATATCTCTTTAGAGTGGGGCTTGGGTGGCTCAGTTGTTTAAGCATCTGTCTTCAGCTCAGGTTATGATCCCAGGGTCCTGGGATCAAGCCCCATGCTGGGCTTTCCGCTCAGTGGGAAACCTGCTTTACTCTCTCCCTCTGCCTGCCACTCCACCTGCTTGCGCTCTCACTCTCTCTCTAATAAATAAATAAAATCTTTTTATTAAAAAAAGAAACACCTCTTTAGGGAATGACAGTTCTAGAAGGAAGTTTTCAAGCCTTCAAATTGTAAATTTCTGAAACAGCAAAAAAAGTAATTTGGGAAGAAGTAATACCCCTGCACCCCATTCCACCAGAGATATACAAAAAGAATATGTCTCAATATTTGTGTGTGTATATATATATGCATGAGAAAGAGAAACAGATGGACTATATATACATATGCCTTCTGTGTGATAACTCCTGTGCTATGTGGTTATTGACTAAACATAGTCATTGTCCTGAAAAATATTACCATTTAATGAGGAAGACAGGAAATAAATGATGAAAATATAGAAATGTAAGGATTGTCACAGAGGTATACACAGGATATTATGGAAATGCAGAAGAGAACTCAGTCAACAGAAAAGGAAGAGATGCCAAGGTATGCTGTCTTGAAGAAGAGTTGAAATTAGGTAAAGGAAAGAGGGAAGACATTTTAGGCAGAGAAAAGAAAAAGATATGGGCTAAGACAAGGCAACAAAAGAGTCTGTTACATTTGAAGAACTACATATAAACCATTGTCGCTAGACCAGAAGGAGTCCACTAGGGACATAGTGGGAGATGGAAAGGTATTTAGGAATCAGAGAAAAAAGGGCTTAATCTGTAATGCAAAAGAATTTAAACTTTATCCTATAACTCTTTTAGATAGTTGAAAGAAAATAGTTAAAATTACCACCTGTAGAAGGCCAATTTTTTTTTCTGCTGGCCATACAGTCCTAGAACAATTATGAATAAGAATAGAAATTACATTCTCATATACACTTTGTGGATTTTCTTCCCATAGTTCAAGAACTTCTTTAAACAAGTAAGAGGTTTACATTTCTTCAGAGTTCTTAATTTTGTGGAAATGTAATGATTGTTAGTTTAAAGCATTTAGATTCTCTGTTTTCTTTATGAACTTGCTTTTCATTATCTGAGTAAAAATGGCTAGAAACTAGAAGTCATCCTATAAAGTGGAACTTTTATTATACTATACATTTAAGAGTCCCATCAGTTTCCGGCAGTTCCTTCATAGGGTAGATTTTTCTAATTTTCATTCCTCTAGATTTTCTTTAGTAGTATCAAATAGAAGAAACTAATGAAAATGAAAGCTGATAATCTGGTTAATATTGGGCATTTACAAATCTCTCTTCCTTACAAATAATTCTCTATGGGGACGCCTGGGTGGCTTAGGGTTGAGCATCTGCCTTTGGCTCAGGGCATGGTCCCGGAGTCCCAGAATTGAGTTCCACATTGGGCTGCCCTCGAGAAGCCTGCTTCTCCCCCTGCCTATGTCACTGCCTCTCTCTGTGTGTCTCTCATGAATAAATACATAAAATCTTTTAAAAAAAATTTTTTCTATGGTTGACTACTATAAAATTTCAAAATGTTAAATTTTGAAGGGAAAAAACTGAATTAACTGTTAAGATTTGTCTTTGGTGCTGTCCAATGGTGCTGACAAGTTTGGCATTCTTTAGTGCTGATCCTATCTTGAGGACACTTTTGTGAGCCTCAATGAAATAGTCCGCTCCTTCCATCTGCACTTCCTATTATGTAGGAAATGTATCTCTAATGGTTGCTTATGACCCCAAATGCTGGACTTGTGAAAGTTCTGTATGTCAGATGCACTACTATGCTACTCTAAACCAGACTGTTGGGCAACATCCCTCCCAAGATAAACTTGGTTTGGTTCCATCCACCGAGTATTTAGCTCAAATGAGAGAAGAGCCCACCACATTCGGACCTCAGTCTATTTTAGGACTGGTTCTATTTTAACATCCTATTACAGTTATATTTTTTAATGAATTGTATCTTTTTATTATATATATCTTTTAATCCTGTTCTTGTGATTTTAAGCTTAAGTACTTTCTTGTCTGGTATTAATATTGCCACCCTGGCTTTCTTTTGATTTTCATGTTCATGGAATTTCCGTGTCTCTTTTATTTAGCTGACACTTTGTTTTCAGTATATCTTTTGTTAAGAGAATATTCTGTTTCACTTTTTTAAGTTTATTTTTTAGAGAAAAAGAGAGTGCACTCGAGCAGAGATAAGAGCAGAAGGAGAGGGAGAGAGAGAATCCCAAGCAGACTCTGCACTGAGCATAGGGCCTAATGTGGGGCTCAGTCTTACAAACCTGAGATCATGACTCTGAGATCATGACCTGAGATAAAATCAAGAGTCTGGCACTGAACCGACTGAGCCACCCAGGTACCCCTATTCTGTTTTATTTTTAGACCCAGTTCAACACTTTCTGTTTTTATTAGGAGAACTTAACTTTATCTCCATTTAGTTAAAAGCTAATGTACTAGATTTTTATATCTATCACCTTATAGTATGTTTATTAGTTATTTTAATTTTTCTCTCATTTGTTTTTATTAGTTTCATTAAGTATCTCTTCTTTTTCCCCCTCCTATTTGGGAGTATGGTTGTAATTTTCCCTTCCATTACTGGTTAATTTCCTTTCCTTGTATTCATAATCAGGCATGATCAGATTTTTCCTGTCAGCAAATGGGGGACAAAACTGGAAGGAGGGTAGAGAGAAGGATTAATAGTAACCTAGGTGAGATGATGACTGGGTTCTGAAGTTGTGTAATAGCAGTAAATATAGAGATAATTGGTAGTATTCAGTAGTTTGGGTTTTCTTGAGGGTTGAATGAGTTTAATATTACACACACAAAATACTTGGAACAGTGTTTAGCACTCTGTAGAAGTTCACATATGTTTTTACAAGGTGGTCTTTTTTTTTATTTATTTATTTATTTATTTATTTATTTATTTATTTATTTATTTATTTATTTTTAAAGACTTTATTTACTTACTCATGAGAGACACAGAAAGAGAGGCAGAGGGAGAAGCAGGCTCCATGCAGGAAGCCCGATGTGGGACTTGATCCCAGGTCTCCAGGATCATGCCCCAGGCCGAAGGCGGCGCTAAACCATTGAGCCACTGAGGCTGCCCAAGGTGGTCTTTTTAAAAGGTAATTTTAAGTGCACCTGGGTGGCTCAGTTGGTTAAGCATCAGACTCTTGTTTTCAGCTCTGGTCACAATCTCAAGGTCCTGAGATCCAGCCCCACACCAGCCTACACACTAAGCATGAAGCCTGCTTAGGATTCGCTCTCTTCCTCTCCTTCTGCCCTACCCCCTGCTTGCATGTGTTCTCCCATGCTATGTATGAATGAATGAATGGTCATTCTTCAGCTTAGAGGCCTCCAAATGCTTCTCATGACTCTCAAAAAAAATCTCAAACCCTCCCCATGGCCAGGAAGACCCTTCAGGATCTAGCACTCATCCATCCACCCAAGCTCTCCCACAGCCTTTGCCCCTCACTTCATCTTTCTGGCCTCAGATCCTTTGCACTTGCTATGCCCTTTCCCTAGAGCCCTCTTCCCCCAGTTCTCACAGTGGCTAAGTCCTTATCTTTCAGGCTGCCTCTGATTTAAATTTCATTTGCTCACAAAATAGTTATTTAGAGGCAAAGATAGTTTATATGTTTAGGAGTTTCCTGGCATTTTAATACTTTAATACCCCTTTCTTGAGGTGTGGAATAAGGGAATGGGCAGTAATTCAAGTTTAAAAAAGGAATGGTGCTCAATTTAATAAGAAAAAGAACTTTACTTTTTAAAAACTTGAACAAGTTGTGGAAGGCAGTTATAGAGAAGGCAGTTATTTAACTTGTTACTTAGGATCAAAATGTTCATACTGTTCATATTCAGCATCCATTTAGTATCTGTGAAGGGTTTGTACTTTAGGTGCTAGGAGCAATAAAAGAAATTATGTTCCAGTCCTTTATTTTTCAGGAACTCAAAGTACAATAAGTGTTATATTTTTAAGATCTATTCTAAGTAGGAATACAAATATTTTTAAAAGGAATGTTGCACAAATCTCTTATCAACTGTAATTTGAGTCCTTGGATTATTATTCAGAGGTATCTTACTCATCCGCTCCGCTATTCCTTATATTTCCTATAAATGGATAGTTATCTCTAAAGGCTTGATAAGAGTTAGATTCTGTGTGTGTGTGTGTGTGTGCACGCGCTTAGGCAAGAATACTTGATAGGTGATGCTGCTTTTATATCATATCATGAAGCATATAATATCTGATTGTCCCACTTTTAATGATGCTAAAATTAATCAGTGGATTTAATATAACAGGTGATCTGCATATGGAAGCACCACTTGAAGAAAATACCAGATTTTAAAAACTTATGAAGGAAGAAGAGGGTGGGTAGGCAATATGATTCAGGGCTTTTGTTCCCTTATCCATAAAATGTATTGGTTGCATTAAAATTGAATCCCAATTGCCTGTTGTAGGCCCAATGTAACAAATCTTTAATGACTCAGGGCAAGTGCTTCCTCTTCCCTTTCCTCAAAAATAGCAGGTTTGAGACCTCAGCCTTGCTTTATCTCTATCTTTTTTACTATGAATCCTTGTTGTTAGAGTAATAAACTTAGGTAGTTAAGTGACTTGAGGTATAACATAAATTGAGAAACACAGAAGATCCCAAAGGCCCTCCCAACCAAATTTATGTGATAAATTTCAAGTAATTATAATTAACTTTTTAAACAGGGGTCAACTCCACCAGTAACTGTTTTCAAGGGTTCAAAGAAACCTTACTTAAAGGAATGCATTTTAATTATTAACCATGACACTGGAGAATGTCGGCTAGAAAAACTCAGCAGCAACATCACTGTAAAAAAAACAAGGTATGTCATTAATTAAATTATTTTATCAACATATAAACTGCAAAGGAAATGTCAGTGAAAAGAATTATTGGACTAAGTCACATTATTTTATAAGGATTGTTTCTGCGTGGCACAAAGATGTTTTAATCTTTTTCCAAGTTTAAATCTGGTAGAGACCTAGAGACCCTTAGCCAAAAGCTTTTACCACCTCTTCCTATGATATACAAAAGCCTTTTTGTTTCTGAATATTTTCTATACGTATAGGTATACCTTTTATTCTACTGTAGATGCTTTCATAGAATTAAACTGAGCCATTATAAACTCTCCAAAATCATTCCATCTTCATTAGTGAAAATTTATTTAGCACCAAGAATATGTAAGGCACTAGGAAAATGAAAGTTTCCCATACAAATACAAATACTAACCCTGCATTTTAATTGTATTAACAGATCATTCCATTTAAAAAGTCAGTAAGAATATATCCATCTAAAATTCTTATTTGCAGATAGGTGGTACATTATCGTGTAATATAAAGGAAGTACACTAAAAGCCATAAAAATGGCATAGACAAAAGTTGTTCTAGGACCTAAAGGAAGGGGAAAGGTATCATTGATTGGAGGTTTTAGGGAGGTCTTACTGATGTTCTGAGGTTAAGAATTTGAAGGGATACATGTACTCCTGATGTTTATAGCAGCATTATCAACAGATAGCCAAAATATGGAAAGAGCCCAAAAACCCACTGAGCTGATGAATGGTCAATGGTGGTCAAGATATATCTATTTATCTATCTATCTATCTATCTATCTATCTATCTATCTATCTATCTACATCTGTATCTATAATGTAATATTACCCAACCATAAAAAAGAATGAAATCTTGCCACTTGCAATAACACGGATGGAGCTAGAGAGTATTATGCTAAGTGAATTAAGTCAGAGAGAGAGACAAATAACATATGATTTCACTCATATGTGGAATTTAAGAAACAAAACAAACAATCATGGGAAAAAAGAGAGAAGAAAACCAAGTTTCAGACTCCTAACTATAGAGGACAAACTGATGGGGGGAGGTGAGGGAGGGATGGGTTAAATGGGTGATGGGGATTTAGGAGAGCACTTGTAATGAGCACTGGGTGTAGTATGTATGTGATAAATCACTAAATTCTATACTTGGAAACTAGTATTACACTGTACATCTAACTAGAATTTAAATAAAAACTTTATAAAGTAAAAGAAAAAAAGATTTGGGGTTTTCTTTCCACCAAATATACTTGGTGATAAGGATTACCATGGGTTCTTGTTAAATATGAGTTCCCAGATCTAACTTCAGATCAAAGAAGAACCCTGGGAAGCTCTATTTTTATTATCCCCTCCCTGTGCTAGTAATTTCTATTAGTAGGAAAGTTTGGAAAATATCACAGAGAAGATGAAGTTGTAGGCAAGGTTTGAATGCAGGAATATATTTGACTTATTTGAAGCCAGTGAGTAAGACCTCTTTGAATAGAGCAGAGATTTCTGTGCCCATGAAAAGTGTATGTGTGTGTGTATATATATATATATATTTTTTTAAACAATCTACCAAACGAGTTGAGTAAAATGAAACAATGTGGGAAACAGAAAAATGCAGAAACCATGATTTTTGAAAGTAGGAATGAAAATAACAATGAGGTTCTAAATACTCTGTGAAGGTAAAAATGACAGGATTTGGTAACTGGAAATGGAAGAGACAGAAATCAAGCATAACTACATTTTATACTCTTAAAAGTATTCAAAAGAAAATATATGAATCTCCTTTAGTAACATGTCTTAAAGTTAGGAATGAAAAATGAAAATGAATGCCTGGGTGGCTCAGTCAGTTAAGCATCCGCCTTCCACTTAGGTCATGATCCTGGGGTCCCAGGATTGAGCCCATATTGGGGCTCCCTGCTCAGCAGGGAGCCTACTTCTCCCTTTCCCCCTGCCCTTCATCACTGTGCTTTCTCTTGCTATCTCTCTCTCTCAAATAAGTAAATAAAATCTTTAAGAAAAAAAAGAAAAATGTGAAAGTGATTTGACTTTAACAGAAATGATAATTTTAAAATTTAAGGAATATGTTATATTTGTTATATACGTATGTATCATTTCAGTTTATTTAATAATTTGTGTATGTCTCATCTCTTCAGTTTTGAGCAGAAGTTTTGTTTTTGTTACATTTGTATCCCTTATTGGATCTGTGTATATGTCATGTATATAATAGGATTCAATAAGTATTTGTTAAATACATATTTGTTGGGCAGCCAGGGGGCTCAGCAGTTTAGCACCGCCTTCAGCCCAGGGCGTGATCCTGGAGACCCGGGATCGAGTCCCACATCGGGCTCCCTGTGTGGAGTCTGCTTTTCCCTCTGCCTGTGTCTCTGCCTCTCTCTCTCCCCTGTGTTTCTCATGAATGAATAAATAAAATCTTTTTTAAAAAAACATATTTGTTAAATAATGAGTTAAATTAATGTTTTAATTTTTGGATTTCATTTTAAGGATCTCTAGGGAAACAAGTGGTCAATTTTAGTAACTTTGTAAGTTGCAGTTGTTAAATTTCAGTCACCCCTGTTTTGACCTTTTATATTCTTAATTGCAGATTTGAAGGAAGTAGTAAAATTCAGTATCGCATAGAGCAACACCAGCAACAAATGCGGAATTCAGCTAGGACTCCAAATCTTGTGAAACATTCTCCATCTGAAGACAAACTGTCCCCAGCATCTCCAATGGATGATATTGAAAGAGGTAAAATCTAAGTGTGTATAATACCCATTGTAAGACATTACTAAGAAATGTTAGGTGAAATTTTTCATTTTATTTTTTTTATTTTTATTTTTTTTATTATTTATTTATGATAGTCACACAGAGAGAGAGAGAGAGAAAGAGAGGCAGAGACAGGCAGAGGGAGAAGCAGGCTCCATGCACCGGGAGCCCGACGTGGGATTTGATCCCGGGTCTCCAGCATCGCACCCTGGGCCAAAGGCAGGCGCCAAACCGCTGCGCCACCCAGGGATCCCGAAATTTTTCATTTTAATTAACAACGGGTCTAACTTTGACACTTTTTGACATCAAAAGTGTCCTCACGGGACCCCTGGGTGGCGCAGCGGTTTGGCGCCTGCCTTTGGCCCAGGGCGCGATCCTGGAGACCCGGGATCGAATCCCACGTCAGGCTCCCGGTGCATGGAGCCTGCTTCTCCCTCTGCCTGTGTCTCTGCCTCTCTCTCTCTCTGTATGACTATCGTAAAAAAAATAAAATAAAATAAAAAACAAAAAACAAAAGTGTCCTCACTTCAATAGTGAAGTGAGGAGATGTAATAAGATACAGTAAGTTCTTCTGAATTACTGCTCACTTCTCAGCAGGAAGGTGTTTCTAGGGAGATACAGTCACTTTGAAAGTAAGGAAACTTAAATATCCATTTTTTTTCTAGGTTCAAGTTGGATGTTGGTGGTATAGCAGTTGTGGGAGGAGTAAAACTCTGGTCACCTGGTCACAGTGTATTTGCTTCTGTACTCTTCCTTCATAATTTGCGTGTAGTTCTCCAATTGTATACACACACACACACACCATATCATCTTTATCCATTTATCGGTTGATGGACATTTGGGCTGATTCCATGATTTGGCTGTTGCTGATAATGCTAGAAACATCGGGATGCATGTGCCACTTCAAATCAATTTTTTTTGTATCCTTTGGGTAAATACCTAATAATGCAATTCCTGGATCTAGAGTAGCTCTATTTTTAACTTCTTGAGGAACCTCCATACTGTTTTCCAGAGTGGCTGCACCAGTTTGCATTCCCACCAACAGTGTAAGAGAGTTCCCCTTTCTCCACATCCTTACCAATAACTGTTGTTTCCTGTGGTGTTAATTTTAGCCATTCTGACAGGTATGATGTCTCACTGTAGTTTTGATTTGTATTTCCCTGATGATGAATGATGTTGAATATCTTTTCATGGATCTGTTAGCCATCTGCATGTCTTCTTTAGAAAAATGACTATTCATGTCTTCTGCCTGATATTTAATTGGATTATTTGTTTTGGGGGTGTTGAGTTTAATAAGTTCTTTATATATTTTGGATACTAACCCTTTATCAATATGTTATTTGCAACTATCTTCTCTGATTCCACAGGTTGCCTTTCAGTTTTATTGTTTCCTTTGCTGTGCAGAAGCTTTTTATTTTGACAAAGTCCTAATAGTTTATTTTTGCTTTTGTTTCCCTTCCCTTAGGAGACATATCTAGTAAGAAGTTGCTATGGCCAATGTCAAAGAGGTTACTGCCTGTGTTCTCCTCTCAGATTTTAACAGTTTCATGTCTCATGCTTAGGTCTTTAATCTACTTAACATTTATTTTTGTGTATGGTGTAAGAAAGTGGTCCAGTTTCATTTTTCTGCATGTTGCTGTCCAATTTTTCCAACACTGTTGTAAAGACTGTCTTTTTTCCCACTGGATACTATTTCATGCTTTATCGACGTTATGAGTTCATTTCTGGGTTTTCTATTCTGTTCTATTGATCTATGTGTCTATTTTTGTGCCAGTAATACGGTGTCTAAATTTGCTAAGAGAGCAGATCTTATGTATTCCCATCACACACACACACATACACATACATAAATGGAAACTATGAGATGATGTTAATTAACATGATTGTCATGGGACACCTGGATGGCTCAGTGGTTGAGCATCTACCTTCGGCTTAGGGTGTGATCCTGGGGTCCTGGGATCTAGTCCCACACTGGGCTCCCTGTGTGGAGTCTGCTGGTCCCTCTGCCTATGTCTCTGCCTCTCTCTGTGTCTCTCATGAATAAATAAATAAAATCTAAAGAAAAACATGATTATCACAATCATTTCACAATGTATATCACAGCATTAAGTTGTACATTTTAGATTTGTTTCTTCCTGCGAAAAATAAAAAAATAATAATTATAAAATGTCTAAAATTTTCTCCCAGAAGTCAGTTGGTCTGAGTGTTTCTCTTCAGTTAAAGCTAGGACACACAGAGTGAGAACCCTAAGAGCAGTCAGTTACCTGAGGAGTAGGGCCTGTCAGGAGAGCTTCAGAAGCTGGGGCAGGGAGCTACTCCTGAGATGAACTTCAGGCTTGGCACAGGATTCTCTGTCTCCTTCATCCAGTAGATGGCGTATAGGACCAGCTGTTCCAGTAGTCGTTGCCCGAAGTCCTGCTTATACAGGCTGAGGTTGGCCAGCAGGAGCAAGGTCAGGCTGCTGTGGCCACTGTTGGTCATGTCGCATTCCCCCAGCCAGGGCACTCCCAGTATGGTGCCAGGCTAGCACAGGCCCTGGCAGAGTCCCTGGACTCTAGAATCCCCCAGCTTGTTGTTGCTCATCTGCAGCTCAAGGGATCCTGTTTTGGATCAACATGGTACCAGAGTAGTGATAGCAGATGGCCATAAGCTGCAGGACTTTACCCATGGGTACTGCAGCTGGCCGCCAGTCTCCCAAAGACTCTCACATGGCAGCCAGGCACTCTCGCCCCCCAGGACATTGCCCCACTAGGCTCGACTCTTCAGGCTCTCCTTGGCCCTAAGGATGCAGCAAAGGTCTCTGCAACTTCTAGCTGTGATGTTACATCTCAGAACCACAGGTTCCTGAGTCAGAAGCTGGGGTATAGCAGTTTGGGGTACAGCTTGTCACCCAGGCCCAGCACCTGCAGTGAAACATTGGAGGTCACAATACCACACAGGTCCTTACCGTGGGCCCATGTGAGGCAGCAGTTCTCCAGCTTGACCATCTCCACTGGCAGACCGAGTCTGCCAGGCCCTGGTACAGCACTCAGACACCAGCCTGGCAGATGTCGCTATTGTTCAGTATGAGTTCCTTGAATGCTGCTTGGCCTTTGAACACCACAGCTAAGGGCTCACAACTGGCAGCTGTCAGGTTGCAGTACTCCAGCTGAAGTAGCAACAGGAGTCCAGGAGATCTTTGCAGAACAGCTACAAGCCAGCATCTACCAGCAGATTGTCACTCGCTGAGATGCAGTTCATGCAGGATGGGCACTGAGTGCAGCATACAGGGCAGGGCCCCACAGCCAGCCTTCATCAGACAGCAGTTCTGGAGACTGAGCTTCTGTATCTCGCAGGTGGGGCTCTGCAGGCCCTGGAGCACCAGGTACATACTGGCATCACCCTGCTCTTTGGTGCAAAGGCTAAACTCTGTCAGGGAAGGGTTGGCCCAGAGAGCAGAGCTGCTATCCTTGCAGCATACTTCTATGAGGCCTCCATTGTCCAGCCTGACCACCTTAAACTGCTCAATCAGAGATGGGACCTCTCTCCATCCAGGGTCACTCAACTGCTCACATTGAATGTCCAGATTCTTGGTTCAAGAGGAAGTATATTCTCAGGTTGAGCCACTTATACTGGGGCCAGGAGAGCCTGTTGGTACACTGTAAATATAAACACTTATGTCAATTGCAGGTCAAAAAAGCCGGAAAAAAAAAAGAAATTCATCTGTACATATTACATTGCCTTTTATGAATTGGGAGAGTAAGAGGAATTGGAGGATGGTTTCTACCTAAATAGATTTTAATTTTTACAGTTTCAATTTTTTACATTCTTTATTTTATTTGAAATATATAAATATTTAAGTATAATGATATAATAAATGTAATATTTAGATTTAGGCATTGCCTATGTCTTTTAATGGTAGGGGAGCTTTTTTTTCTTAAAGATTTTATTTATTTGTTTGAGAGAGAGAGAGTGTGGGTACACACAAGGTAGAGGGGAAGGGGCAGAGAGAAAGGAAGAAGCAGGCTCCCCACTGAGCAGGGAGTCCCATGTGGGGCTCAACCCCAGGGCCCCTGGGATCATGACCTGAGCCAAAGGCAGACGCTTAACTGACTGAGCCACCCACAGGTGCCCCGTAAGAAGCTCTTTAAATAAAATGATTTAAATGCTCTAAATGTATGTTTAATCTCATTCATTCCTCAACAGTTAGAAGCTAACATATTCCAATTTTATTTATTATTTATATTTGATATTATTTAACCTATCAGTTAATTTCTGATTTATTTTCAGAACTGAAGGCAGAAGCTAGCCTAATGGACCAGATGAGTAGTTGTGATAGTTCATCGGATTCCAGAAGTTCATCATCTTCAAGCAGTGAGGATAGTTCCAGTGACTCAGATGATGAGGAATGCAGATCCTCTCCTTCTGATCCAGGGAATTATGTCTCGGGACATCCTGCCATGTCTGCCATGCCACAGTGTAGGATTCCTTATATGGATGACAGCCAGAATAGATCTCATGACCACAGTGGCCTTCTGATGAATACTTTAAGTAAGTATATAAAAACATGAGTAATTAGAAAAGTAAGAACTCACAGTGGCATCGTAGCAATTATGATCTAAAATTTGGATAAAGAGAAAAACTCTTATTCATTTGATACTATGATTAATCATTACCTTTTTGTTGAATTACTCCTTTTCTTTTGACTCTGTGACATAATGTCTTACTGGTTTTTCTCCTATCTCTCTAGATACTTTTCTCTCTATCCTTTGGCAGTTTAGAATATTCTACTCAGTCATTAGAGGTGGAGTTCATCAAGCCTTAATTCTAGGTCTTTTTTTCTTTTTACTCCACATTCTTTCCCTAGATAATCTCCTCCATATTTCTGCTGTAATTAATACTTACGTATAGATAGCTTATAAATCTGCATCTCCAACCCAGACCTCTGAGCTCTGGAAACAGGTAGGTCCAACACCATCTTTTAATAAAGGCATCCCAAGTTCACTTTGCCCAAAACCAACTTATAATCATTGGCTCACTGTTTCCTCTTAGAGAAAGGTAGGATTCATCTAATGATGCAATCTAGAAGCCTAATGGTATGCAACGATTTATTTCATCTTCATTTTTACAGTGTAGTCAATCCTTCATCAAGTTCTGTTTATTTTACCTCCTTAATATTTCTCAAATTCATCTACTTCTCTGCATCTCCACTACTATCACTTTAGTTCAACTTGCTGTTATTTCTTGCTTTTAACTCTGCAGTGGTTTCTAACTGGTTTACCACTTACCTACTCAAACCCATTTTTGATCCTTTATGTACATTGCAGCCATATTGATCTTTTCATAACTAAAATATAATTTTATATGTATGTGTGTATATATATATGTGTGTGTGTGTATGTATGTGTATATATGTATATGTATATACATATATATACATACCACATCATCTTTATCCACTCATCAGTTGATAGGCATTTGGGCTCTTCCCATGTTTTGGCTGTCGTACGTAGTTCTGTTATAAAATTGGGGTGCGTGTGCCTCTTTGAATAACTATTTTTGTATCCTTTGGATAAATACCCTTAGTGCAATTGCTGGGTTGTAGGTAGTTTTAATTTTAACTTTTTGAGGAACCGCCATATAGTTTTTCCAGAGTGGCTGCATCAGTTTGCATTGCCACCAACACTGTAAGACAGTTCCCCTTTCTCCACATCCTTGCCAACATCTACTGTTTCCTGAGTTGCAAATTTTAGCCATTCTAAGAGGTGTAAGGTGGTTTTGATTTGTATTTCCCTGATGATGAATGATGTTGAGCATTCTGTTAGTCATTTTTATGTCTTCTTAAGAGAAGCATCTATTCTGTCTTCTGCCCATTTCTTTTGTTTTTTTTTTAAGATTTTATTTATTTATTCATGAGAGACACAGAGAGAGAGAGACAGAGAGAGAGAGAGAGAGGCAGAGACACAGGCAGAGGGAGAAGCAAGCTTCAGGCAGGGAACCTGATGCGGGACTCAATCCCGGGACTCCAGGTTCACACCCTGGGCCGAAGGCAGGTGCTAAACCACTGAGCCATCCAGGGATCCCCTTCTGCCCATTTCTTAACTGGACTTTTAAATTTTGGGGGTATTAAGTTTTATAAGTTCTTTATAGATTTTGGATACTAACCCTTTATTGAATATGTCGTTTGCAAATATCTTTTCCCATTTCATAGGCTTTTAGTTTTCTTGATTATTTCCTTTGCTGTGTAAAAGCTTTTTTTTATTGATGAAGTCCCAATAGTTCATTTTTGCTTGTGTTTTCCTTACCTCTGGACATTTGTCTAATAAGAAGCTGCTGCAGCTTTGGTCAAAGAAATTGATGCCTGTGTTCTTCTCTAGGATTTTGATGGATTCCTGTCTCACATTTAGATCTTTAATCCATTTAGAATCTATTTTTGTGGGGATCCCTGGGTGGCACAGCGGTTTGGCGCCTGCCTTTGGCCCAGGGCGCGATCCTGCAGACCCGAGATCGAATCCCATGTCGGGCTCCCGGTGCATGGAGCCTGCTTCTCCCTCTGCCTGTGTCTCTGCCTCTCTCTCTCTCTCTGTGACTATCATAAATAAATAAAAATTTAAAAAAATTTAAAAAAAAAGAATCTATTTTTGTGTATGGTGTTAGAAAGTGGTCCAGTTTCATTCTTCTGCATGTGGCTGTCCAATTTTCCCAGCATCATTTGAAGAGACAGTCTTTTTTCCATTGGATATTCATTCCCGCTTTGTTGAAGATTAGTTGACTATATAGTTATGAGTTCATTTCTGTGTTTTCTGCTCTGTTCCATTGATCTGTATGTCTGTTTTTGTGAAAATACCATGCTGTCTTGATTATTACAGGTTTGTAATAGAGATTGAAGTCCAGAATTGTGATGCCTCCCACTTTGCTCTTCTTTTTCTTCTTCTTTTTTTTTAATTCAAATTTTGTTAGGGGCACCTGGATGACTCAGATGGTCAAGTTTCTGCCTTTGGCTCAGGTCACAATCTCCAGTCCTGGGATCGAGCCCCACATTAGGCTCCCAGCTCAGCAGAGAGTCTGCTTCTTCCTCTCCCTCTCCCCCTGCTTGTGCTCTTTCTGTGTGTCTCTCTCTCAAATGAGTTTTTTAAAAATCTTTTTAAAAAATTAAATAAATAAATGTCAGTTAACATGTAGTGAAATATTGGTTTCAGGAATAGAATTAAGTGATTCATCACTCACATGCAACACTCAGTACTCATCACAAGTGCCCTCTTTAATACCCACCACCCATTTAGCCTATCCCCCACCAGCTCCCTCCATCAACCCTATTTGTTCTCTGTCATTAAGAGTCACTTATGGCTTGTTTAAAGACAAATGTCGGGCAGCCCAGATGGCTCAGTGGTTTAGCCCCACCTTCAGCCCAGGGCCTGATCCTGGAGACCCCGGATCGAGTCCCATATCAGGCTCCTGCATGGAGCCTGCTTCTCCCTCTGCCTGTGTCTCTGCCTCTGTCTCTCCCTCTCTGTGTCTCAAATGAATAAGTAAATAAATAAAAATCTTTAAAATAAAAAAGAAATGTCATATGATACCACTTATGTGGAATTTAAGAAAGAAAACAGATAAACATATGGAAAGGAAGAAAACAATAAAAGAAGAGAGGGAAACAAGCTCTTCTTTTTCAACATTACTTTGGCTATTCAGAGTCTTTTCTGGTTCCATACAGATTTTAGAATTGTTTGTTCTAACTCTGTGAAAAATACTGGTGTCATTTTGATAGGTATTACATTGAATGTATAGATTCCTTTGGGAGCTATAGGCATTTTAACAATATTTGTTCTTCCAATCCATGAGTGTGGGATGTTTTCCCATTTCTTTGTGTCTTTCTCAATTTCTTTCATAAGTGTTCTGTAGTTTTTAGAGTACAGATCTTTTACCTTTTTGGTTAGGTTTATTCCTAGGTATCTACGGTTTTGGGTAAAATTGTAAATGAAATCAATTCCTTGATTTCTCTTTCTGCTACTTCATTATTGGTGTATAGAAATGCAACAGACTTCTTTCTATGTGTTGATTTTATATCCTGCAAGTTTGCTGAATTCCTATATCAGTTCTAGCAGTTTTTTGTTGGGGTCTTTTGGGTTTTCTACATAGAGTATCATATCATGTTGTATGTAAAGAGTGAAAGTTTGACTTCTTCCTTGCCAGTTTGTATGCCTTTTATTTCTTTTTGTTCTCTGAATGCTGAGGCTAGGACTTCCAAGACAGTGTTGAACAACAGTGGTGAGAGTGGCCATTCTCGTCTTGTTCCTGACCTTAGGGGGAAAACTGTTTTGCTTCATAGAGCATGATGTTATTTTTTTTTAAGATTTTTTAAATTTATTTATTCATCAGAGAGAGAGACAGAGAGAGAGGTAGAGACATAGGCAGAGGAAGAAGGAGACTCCATGGAGACTCCATGCAGGGAGCCTGACATGGGACTCCATCTCGGGTCTCCAGGATCACACCCTGGGCTGAAGGCAGCACTAAACTGCTGAGCCACCCCGGCTGCCCACAGAGCATGATATTAGCTGTGTGTGAGTCTTTCATATATGGCATTTATGGTGTTGAGGTATGTTCCTTCTATCTTCTAGGATGTTCCTTAACTTCCATTTGTGGTCTTCCCAAATGTTTTCTTGCGGTTGACTTCAAGTTTCATAGCATTCATAGCATTGTGGTCTGAAACTATGAATGGTATGATCCCAGTCTTTTGGTGCTGGTTGAGGCCTGATTTGTGACCCACTATGTGGTCTATTCTGGAGAAAGTTCCATATGTACTCAAAAAGAATGGGTATTCTGCTGCTCTAGGATGAAATGCTCTGAATATATCTTTTAAGTCCATCTGGTCCATTGTGTCATTAAAAGCCTTTGTTTCCTTGTTGATCTTCAGCCTATATGATCTGTCCATTGCTTTGAGTGGGATGTTAAAGTTCCCTACTTTTATTATATTATTATCAATGAGTTTCTTTAAGTTTATTATTAATTGGTTTATATTTTTGGCTGCTCCTAAGTTAGGGGCATAAATATTTACAATTGTTAGATAGACCCCTTTTATTATGATATAGTGCCCTTCTTCACCTACAGTCTTTGGTTTAAAATCTAATTTGGAAAAAAAAAATCTAATTTGGCTAGATTGGCTAGATGGCTACTCCAGCTTTCTTTTGATGTCCATTAGCATGATAAATCGTTTTCTATTCTCTTAGTTTCAATCTGGAAGTGTCTTTAGGTATAAAACGAGTCTCTTGTAAGCAGCATATATCAATGAGTCTTTTTTTTTTAAATCCATTCTCCTGAACCTGTCTCTTTTGATTGGAGCATTTAATCCATTTACATTCAGAGTAATTATTGAAAGATATGAATTTAGTGCCATTGTATTATCTGTAAAGTCACTGTTCCTGTAGATTGTTTCTGTTCTTTTCTAGTCTTTGTTGCTCTTGGTCTCTCCTGCTCCAAGGGTCCCCTTTAATATTTCTTGCAGAGCTGGTTTAGTGTTCACAAACTCCTTTAGTTTTGCTTGTCTTGGAAACTCT